CAATCCGGAGGTAGATAATTCTGTCGAGGAATACTTGAAGCACATCACATTTACTCTTTCGGAAGCCATCGAAGAACAATTGTCCACCATTTAGTGGCAAATCACCACCACGCCAAGACAAGGGTGAACTCTTTCCCCCTCTTCAATTTCCTTCCTATTCTCCTTCAATTGTGGTTGTGTCTCAAGCATAAAGAATCTTGCAAAGCTCTCCGCCAAAGCTTAGTAAACGTAGGGAATGAGTGGACTTTTATGTATATAATCTCGTTGTTAATCTAGGGATGTTATTGAAAATCCTCTATATTTGCTTATTTGTTTTTAATTATTTTGTCATCCTAACTATTATTGTGTGACTTGGCCTAAACTAAGGAACCCCTTTCTTATTTTTCATTTTCATTAAGTGGGTAATGTTTTAATTCTTATTGCTCTTACTTGAAAGCATACAAATTCTTATATCCATCATCTAAAGCATTCATAGTTCTGCATAAGCATTTCATCACTTATAAAAAATGAAAATAGTAAAACTCGAATTAATTATGTTTTATAAGAAAAATATATCATTTAGATTGCAAATATTATAAAATTATTCCTAATAAAAGTTTATGTACCTAACATCTCTTATTAGTTTTGAGCTATAAGATGAATAGACGGAAAATAAAAAATAAAGTAAAAAATTGTTCTAGGATTAGATGGGAGCATTTAAAAAAAGATTTAACAAAAATATTTTTAAGAGTAGATTCTAGATCTTAAAATTTTGTCTGTGCATGAGAAAACTAATGTTATGTAGAAAAAAATAGCCATTGGTATTAAAAATATTGTAAAGGATGTATTTAGAGTATCAAAGAGAAAAGCTACTAATAATAAAAAATAGTTGATGGTGGAATCAAAATGTGAAAAAAAAAAGATTAAAAATAAGAAATTTTGTTATAAAAATTAGTTTATATGTAAAAACTTTGATAATTGAGTAAGATATAAAGAGATCCGTAAGGAGTCTAAGAATGTAAGATGAGATGTAAGTATTTTAGTTTTTAATGATTTATATAATAGATTAAATACTAGGGAAGGCGAAAGATATATGTATAATTTAGCAAAATAAAGAGATATGAGTAGCAAGGATTTAGTTCAAGTGAAGTGCATTAAGGATGAAGATCAAATAGTGATTTTATTAGAAGAAGATATTCAACAAAGATGGATGAGATATTTTGTTAAGCTTTTCAATGAAGATTCTGATAATACAATTGACTTTGGTGACTTTAGCATCTTAAATGAAAATAAAGATTTTTGTTTTTATCAGCGCATTAGTGAAACCGAAGTTAGAAAGGATTTAAAGAAAATGAAATACGGAAAAGCTGTTGGATTTGATGATATTCTAAGAGAGGTGTTCAAATACTTAAGAGATGAAGAAATTTCTTGGCCTACTAAACTTTTTTACATTATTTTGAAGACTAAAAATATGTCAGAAGAGTGGAGAATGAGTAAATAATGAATGATTCCTATTTTTAAGAATAAAGGTGATGCAGAATATTGTGCGAAAGATAGAGAAATTGAGTAAACGTGACATACTATAAAATAATTGAAGAGAATTATAAAGCATAGGTTACGACGTGATACTAATGTTTCTCAAAATCAATTTGGATTCATGTCGGGTAGGTCTAATATGGAAGCTATACACTTATTGAGAGATTTTATGGAGAAGTATTGAGATAATAAGGAGAATCTACAAGTGATATTTATTGATTTAGAGAAAGCATATGATAAAGTTTCAAGAGAAGTGCTATTGAAAGTTCTAGAAAAGAAGGGATTAATAATGCTTGTATTCAAGTCATTAAGGATATGTATGGAGGAGATATTAATTATGTTCAAACCCAAGGTGATTACATCAAGGATCAACCTTAAGCCCATATCTTTTTGCTTTAGTCATGGGATGTTCTCACTAGACATTTGCAAGAGGTTGTACCCTGGTGTATACTTTTTGCTAATGATATTCTTCTTGTTGATAATACAAGAGATGGAGTTGAAGAAAAACTTGAATTATGGCGATCGACCTTAGAGTCTAAAGGTTTTAATTGAGTAGATCTAAAATCGAATATATGGATTGTAATTTTTAGTAGCAATAGATATAATGGGGGATTGTGACTTTGGGCAATCAAGTCATTAATAAGAGTACACGTTTTAGATATCTCGTGTTTAGTGTTCAGAGTGATGTTGAAATAAATAGGGATATTATTAGTAGAATTCAAGTTGGATGGTTGAAGTGGAGGAATGCATTAAGCTTATTGTGTGATAGAAAGGTCCACCTCAAACTTAAAGGAAAATTCTATAAGATGGTGGTGAGACCTGTAATGTTTTATGATGCAGAATATTGGCCACTAAAATAGAAGTATAATATTAAGTTAAGTGTTGCAAAGATGAGGATGCTCAAGTGGATGAGTGACTTTACTCTTAGAGACAGGATACAAAATGAGCATATATGTCAAAAGGTTGGAGTAGCTCTAATGGAATATAAGAGCATAGAGAGTCGCCTTAGATGGTTTGATCACATAAAATGGCAGTATTCTGATGACCTGGTTAGGAGAGTAGATGTATTAGATTTGGCTTATGTTAAGAAAGATAGAGGTGGACCTAAAAAGACTTGGTTAGAAAATATTAGAAATAACATTATTTTATTAGATTTAAATGAGAATTTGACTCTTAACATGACACAATGGAGAAAAATGATTCATGTAGCCAACCCTACAAGTGGGATAAATGCTTTATGTTGTTGTTGTATCTTACTAGTATTCTTCCCCTCTCTCTATCACTCTCTTATTACCTCTCTAAAATGCCTCCGTAGGTTAAGCTCATCAGACATAAATAAAGCATGTCAACTCTAATGTCGGACCACTTTGCCCATCGCTGTAATAACCACCAAGTTCCTTGAGTACTCTAGGTTCTAAATATCATTTATAGTATTTTCGTGGTCATAACAACCACCTGATAAGGAAATTCTTCTTATGTCATCAATCAAGATAACTACTAACCTCCAATTAATCCACAAAGCGCTTCTTTGATCTTCGCCTCTGCACTTGGTTGGGTGAAAGAGAAGTGTGATGTCTTGCAATCATTGATTTATTCTCCTTTTATAAAGCAACATGTGGTGCAAGTTTGAAGGATTATGTGTGAATAGGATCTTAAATTTGATAGGAACTAATATTAAAATATTAACATCAAATATTATCCAAGACTTTGAGATCAAAAAGGCCAACAGAAATTAGACGCCACACCCAACACATTTTTTGACGAAAAACCAAAAATCTTGTCTTCTTATCCATGTGATTGCCTCTTCTTCTAAATTAAATTGATATTTGGTGCTAATTTCATTCTTGTAAGTTGACCATATTTGGTGCAGTCTAAGAGAGATAATTTGGCATGTCTGCTACAACAAGTATTTTAAGATGAATATTTAAAAAATAAAGAAATATTTCATTTCGCATGAGGGAAAAAAAATAAGCACATCCAAGTATCATCACATTTGCAATGCAATGCGATGCACCTGTTTGCTACTTGGTTTTTATCATCAATTTACTATTTGCATGCCTGAACATCTATTCTAAGAAAAGCATGAGAAAGACATCAGCAAGAGCCAAGATGGCAGCTTGGCATACCTGGCCACCAAAATTAAAAATAAGCAATTTCACGTCCTCGCCAATGCCAAGTTCCTTTCTAACCTGTACAGCAAGAATATCAAAATAATTCATAGAAGAAGAAAGGAAAATTTAAATGTTAAGACTATTTTCTGCTTGAGATATCCAGACCTCTGATCTAGATTTATGTAATCTTCTGACAACTAAAGGTACATCAATAACATCTCGAAAAGCAGGCACTGAAATTTCGAGAAAAGGAAGAATGAGTTAGAGAAGTCAAAAAGGCTAAAGTAGTAACCAGCCAGAACTAAAAGAAACTTGCAAGAAAAAACATATATAATTTGCTTAATAGATGGCATACTTGGACAATATCCAGGAAGCCGAAGTAAGAATTCACAATGAGAATAATCTTCAGCTATCTGAAAATGGTATTAAAAAACAATGGATAAAGACTCAAATGCTTGAGGAAAAGGAAGTGGATAAGTGCAGTAGCTCAATCTATATGCACCATAATCGAAAGGAAATTGCTGATAATCATAAACAACATATTTTGACACCTAGCAGCCATTTTCCATTTCCACCAGAGGACTTCTAAAATCTTGTTTGGAAATTTTAAATCTAAAAGTATAATATGAAAACAAAAACCTAAGGTCCATATTTAAACAAGTGTAACAACATTTCGAGCAGGAAACTGGCTGATCAAAACTGTAATAGCTAATAAGATAAAGAAGGAGCCTTCCTGTGAAGGGGTTGAGGCCATCAATAAACTCACACCTATTTCTATAATTGAACTACTAAGTGGAAACATGGTAGACTATATTCCAGCGTGTTATACCAATACTAGAAGTTTCACCCGAAGATTAGAAGCAAAACAACTTAAAAGAAGGTTAGATAAGCGAGCAAACTGTTGAAGTAAGCATTTCCAGTTATCCAAAAATATGTGTGAATTAACATAGCCATTTTGAACATAATATTTTTAAAGATTAACGGTTGGGATACAAAAGAGAAGAAAAATAAGTCTGGGCAGAACAGGTTAATGGAGAGAAGGTTTATAGGAGCATTGAGCATTGTTTCCAAAGAATAGAACCTCACTCAAGAAAATGACATCAAGAGGATGTTTCAAACGCAGAATAGTTTAAGGGTGAAATGTACAAAGCCTTTCAAATAAAGAAAATATTTCTTGATTTTTTTTTTTTTTGCCATTTAGCTCTATGGAGTTGATTTTTCTGAGTATTTTTTTGGTTGATCTGAAGTGTCATATTCCTATTGGTTTAAAATCTTCTCTCCTCTGTGTCTCTCTCCTGTTATGTGATTGATCTGACTGCGGCTATTGAGAAACAAAGTAAACACCCTCTATTTCTCTCTCTCTCTATCTCTACATCAATATTTATCTTCTTCTTCCTCAATTTTCCTTCCCCTTCGCCCAAATAAACACGAGAAATTTTACTTTTCTTGATAGTATATTTGGATTATCATTATTATTGTGATTTCTTGAATAGATTAATGTAAACTTTCATTAAATTCATTAAACTCTCGTGTTTAATGCGCTGGCGTGGGAATAGATTATAAGATAGTTTACAATTATAAGTTTAAATTTAGAATAAGGCTAATAGCTTAAGCTGATTAGGTTCCAATTTGGTTTTGATAATAACAACTCTAAAAGTGTTTCAGTAATTGATTGAAGTTAGTAATGAGTAGGGTCATGATTTTCATCTAGCGTGAATTGGATGGATCATTACTAAACTTGGAATTTCATGTCACTCACTCAGGGGTAAGCGACTATTGTTTATTAAGAGATAAATGTACCATTTTTTGTTAAGGATGTTATCATTGTTACTTATATTAAATTCTTAAATATAGTGGGCAGCCAAATCTACTTCTAATATTTAATTATTACTATGCGTGTGTTAATAGATCTCAATTATTGTTCATAATAAATTAATCATGTGATAGAAGTAACTTTGCCTTGATTTATTGCTACACAAACTCCTATCATTAAATTTAATTTCTATTGAAGAGAGTCTATTTTTATACACATTAGTTTTATTAAATGCAATAAATATTATTCCTAAAAAGTATATATGTTATAAAATTAGTTGCCATATTTATCATACAATACCCATCATAAACTTGCAAATGAAAAACTTAGAAATTATATGTATATATGCAGTGATATGTAGATCAACAAAACTCTTTTAGATACTAACTAGGCGGGCCAACGAACCCACCGAGTAATGTCCCTATAAGAAATTATTGGATTTTCTTGGTTTGGTGTTTACCTTCCCAATGCAGGGAAGGTAAATATCAAACCAAGAAAATCCAAAAAATTCCTATTGAGTCATCACTCTGTGGGCTCAATGAATGACTAATAAGTTATATTTTGGGAAGTAAGATGATACTTATTATAATTGCATATGGATATATTTAAATGAAATTTTATTGATGATTGTTTCGCATACACACTTAAAATATTATGATACTAAAATCCAATATATGAATTATGTCATGCTTCATTTATACATTAATGACATCGATTATCTGCTACTATATAGTCACTCTTCCCTTTTTTGTTGTTCATATTTCATGTAACATCTCCTTGCTACTTATTTTAATAAATAGAAATTACTAATTGGATTTGAATTCAGAAAATTCACTCGTTGTAAACCTTTCTCATACCAAGTTTTACTAGAGTCCTTGATGAATCATAACCACAGGAAAATATTTATCAGCAATAGTATCTCATTAATTTTTTAAGCTTTTGTAGCAGTTT